AATCAACTGAAGAAACAAAATTGGAAGAAAATGATTATACGGAAGGTTGGGATACAAGAACTGGTGAAGATGATGAATATTTATATGAAGATCATGCTACCGATCATTCAGGTTTTTTTTTTTTTTTGGAATATGAATTTGAATTAATTAAATGACATTAATTAATTTTTAAAATATTTAAAAATGAGAAATATATGAATTAAAAGAAAAAGGGAAGCAATTTGAACAACAAGACAGACTATGATTTATTGTATTTATTTATTCCGTTTTTCCTTCCTTTTTTTTTAAAGTTAAACTTTTTGGAATATGAATTTGAATTAATTAAATGATATTAATTAATTTTTAAATTGTATGATTTATTTTGCTTATTTTTAAGAATCGACAAGAACTGAATCATCAATGCCAGCATGGTTACAAGGATCAGATGATTATCAAATGATAACAGAACATGGAAATGCACAACGAATTTATTTAAACAAAAAAAAAACTGATCAAATGATAACACGTTTAAATAAAGATAAGAGAATGAAGGTTAATGAGGATGCATTAGTACCATGGACAAATGAAAATGATAATTTTGATAGTGATGAAACAATGACAGAAACAGATTCGCTGGATGATGGTTGGATGATAAGTAAACGACGACGTGTTATCACTAATGGTGCAACTGTTATCACTAATCACTTATTGCAATCAGTATTCTTTTACATTTTCATTGTGATAATCTTATTAAGGTGACAATAATTTATCACAAATGGTATTCAAATTAAACAAAAGAAAAGAAAAAAGAAGAAGGAATGAAGACAATGAGTAAATTTGGAGAGAAATAAAAACAATTTTGATTAACAAATTTTAAATTTTAGTATGATAATAAACTTGATTATTATTTTTTCGTTTTTTTTTTTGAGATCGTAAAAATAAAAATAAGTAAAATGCAAGAAAAGAAATGAGACAAAAGAATATAAAATTAATTTGTATTAAATTTGTTTGTAAAATAAACAAGAGTTGATAGCATTGAAATTAAAAAAGTTTGATGGAAATTTGAAAAAATAAAATTAATTTTTAAAATAAAAAAATGAAATTTTTTAATATTTTGCTATAAAATTAATTTGAAACTTTATAAAGAATTATAATAAATCATTGGAAAAATTATATAATAATTAGTCTGTTTGTTTTTTTTGTCATTTATTCTTCAAAGCATAAAACATACCATTAAAATTTCGAATTGAAATTTTAGACAATTAAAATTTGTAATTTTTTTATAAATAGCAATTCAGCAAACTTTTTTTTTCAATTTATATTTTTGTTAAAATGTAATAAAAAATTATCACATAAAAGAAATTGTAAATATTGTTATAAAAAAAGAAAAAAGAAAAAATTGAACAAATTTTCTTCTAAAATTATCGAAATTTATATTAATAAATTTATTTTGTTTCTTTTTTTAATAAAAATTTCAAATATTTTTGATTTTTTTAAGTATAAATTTAATAAAAATTGTTTGTTAATAAATAAAAAAATGTTATTGCCAAATGTTTAAAGTTTTTTTTTTTTATTTTTTATTTTGTCTTTTGTTTTTTTTTTTTGCATTGTTGTATAATTTTTAATTAATGATTAATTCAAATATTTTCATTAATTGTGGATGAAATAAGTTTTTTTAAGTTAATTTTACATTGATTGTATAATAAAGCATTTTTTTAATTTACTATTATTACAATAAATCAAAATTTGTGTGTTATTTAATTGTAAATTATTATTTATTATACACTTATTTAACTGTGACAAAATTTAATTCTATCCAAAATATAATTTTAAATTTCAAAAATTTTTCAATTTATTAGGAATAAAAATTAAATTAGTTCTTTTTTTGCCAATTTTTATCATTTTCAAATTTTTTCACTTTTTATTTTTTTTATATATTATCAAAAAATTCATTTTAATAGAAATATTGAAATAATCAAATCATTTCTCTAGCAATGTTAATTTCGATACTTAATTATTTCAGGAAATAATGATTACTCATTATTTCTGTTGAATAATTACTAATTAACTCGTAATTATAGGTAACAAATTGTAAGTGTTAATTATATATATTTCGAGATTTACTAAAGTAAATTTGAATTATTTTCAAAATTTTATGGAATAAATTAATATCACTAAAAAGTACACTGATAATGGATAGTAATGAATTTTGATAAAAAATTTGATTTGATAAACATTTACATAAATAAAGTTAATATTTTCTTTTTTTTTTTTGTTTTTGTTTATATTTACAAAATTTTTTTAATAAGCAAAGAAAAAAAAATAATATATTATCATTTTAAATAATTTTAAATATTGTTTTTTTTTTTTAATAAAAAATGTTTCATTTGCATTTTCTATTATTGAAAGATAATTTTTAAAAACTATAATTGCAAGAAAAGAAATGAAAAATTGATCTCAGTTCCTACTCTTTGATATCATTTAATAATTACTAAATAATCATTGTTTATTTTATTTATTTGTTTATTGTTTGTTTACTTTTTTTTTCTTTTATTTTATTTTTTGGGAAGAAAAATTGTTTCATTCATTGCACTTTTTTTTCTTTTCTTGTTTTTTTTTTTAAAAAATGCTACTTAATTATGTTAATTTAATTGATAAATTCAATTTGAAATACATATTTTTATTAATTATAATTAATTTTATGATTAATTTTTTTATTTCCTTCAAAAAAATTTCAAATATTTGCTTTTGTTAGCGAAATGAATGAATCAATTTGACAAGTTTTAAGAATTTTTCATAACTGATTGATAAATGTGACATTTTTGATAGAAATGATAAATGCGAAGAATGAAATGTTGAATTAAGCTGTCACAGAGTATTCTATCATAATTATTTGCAATAAATTTTAATAAATTTTGATAAATTTTAATTTTAACTAATAACGACACATTTTTGACAAATGTCACAAATGAAATTGAAATGTTGAATTAAGTTATTATAGCATATATTATTGTTTGAAATAAATTTAATAATAAATTTTGATGAATTTTAACATCAAACTAATAATAATATTACATTTTGATAAATATTCGAAATGTTAAATTAAGTAATCATTGCATATAATTATTTATAAAATAGTTTGAATTAATTTACTACTATAACTCAATAAATTTTAATTTAATTATCTCATTTATTGTTAGTTGAAAAGAAAAATGTTTTAGAATTTTTTTCATATTTAATGATAAGCAATGCATATTTACACTAACATTTCATTTCTTTTTTTTTTAATTTGAATTTTAAATTAGAAAAAATTTTTTATCATTTTCGTTTTTTTTTTTTTATCAAATAATTTGAGTAATAATTATAGCATTTTATTGTTATTATTATCAGTTAAAATAAATTCATACAAAAAAACAATGAAATGAAAAGAGATACAATCTATCATTAAAATTTTTTTGATAACAAAAGGGTGGCTACGCAGCGGGCAGGATTCGAACCTACGCGGGCAGAGCCCATTTGATTTCGAGTCAAACTCCTTAACCACTCGGACACCACTGCACCAGCGAGTCATGGTCTCGAATTTGATTGATAGAGTTGAAGCATTTTCAAATTTAGATTTAAATTTGTAGTTTTTTTTAAAATTGAATAAAATTATTTTTGATATATCGAAATTTTTGTTATTTGTATTTTACAAACAAAAACAAAAAAAGTTATCAAAAAATATTAAAATTAATTAAAATAAAAGAATAATGGAATAAATGTTAATGCTATGATTTAACATAACAAATGAAAATTTGTCTGCCAATGTAATGTTTACTGCTAATTTGTAGTGAAATTGTTAGCTGAAATAATGGATGCGACGATATAATGCAAAATTCAATCATAAAAGAGACATTATTTAGATTTTTTTCTTAAGGTTAATGTTGTCTTTTCTCTATGACACACACAGATCAAAGATTACCGCCATAGATGGATGACATGTCACCGTGTCACTTTATTTTTGAAATCAGAATGAATTATTGATGTGTTCTAAGCGAAAGAAACGTTTTTTTGTAGTACTTTATTGCTAGTAGTGAATGAGATGATTATAGAGTTAAGATTTGAAGTTAAATGGAAGTAATAATTTTCCGTATTGAAGACGTGACCTTACTGTTGACCTCTTTCATTGAGCAGTTAAAAGATAACCATAGATAATGCTGTGATTCTGATCCCTACAGAAGAATGTACACATTGATTTTGATGCTTTTTTTCCTGGTATTTTCGTATTCCATATTTTTGCTGAAATTTCTCGAATAATCATTGGTCATTGCTAATCATTAATTTTAATATTAAACTTTCAGGAAATGATATTTGTTAGATAGCTAAATTGATCTTAGCCTTAATTCATCAATGAATAATGTGAAAACGATCATCTACCTGTAATAACAGGTGGGTGCTTTTGACTTCTTTAAGTTGATCTTTAATCTTAAAAAACTTCTTTAGCAGAACAGGAAATAATGTCTTGAAAAGATACACTTGCTTCCCTACGGGTAACGAAGGCATAACTACCATCATCTCCGGGATCACTCTCGAGCAATCAAACTCTTGAATTAACTACCTGCATGTACCTGTAGGGTTGGGCCCATAGTTTCTAGTTTCCTTCTCGCATCTCCTCACAAAGTCTAGTGAAAATGTACGCAATTGCTGTCATCCTTTACACCTAAAGTTCATCCCTAGGCCAAGTTATATAGCTTCACGATGCTATCAAGACCTAAGTGAGACGTATTTGCCCAGCCTTGAAAGACACAGTTGCCCTTCTAGGCATCTTACCCATGCATACACCTTGTCAGAGCCTTCTGTTGAAGCCTGATTGACTTGGGTAACACTGCTGCAAGGAAATGTGTCAACCATCTCAACTTCATACGGGTAGGTAAGCAAGCACCTCACCTAAGACATTGGATGCCCGCAGAGGTGATAGTGCTCTTTGTACACAGTTAAGGATGTAAATAAATGCTATATCACACATAAAGTGTGATAACTCACGCAGCGGGTAGGATCCGAACCTTTTGATTTCGAGTCAAACTCTTTAACCACTCGGACATCACTGCAATCGCCAGTGGTGCTAACTCCGAAATTTTAACTGAAAAATTAGTGGTATTATTCGATGGAAGAATTTAATTAAAATTTTCAAATGAAAATTTTCCTTTAATAAATAATCTGGAAAACCATAAAAATTAAAAAAAAAAACATTTTAAACAAAAAATATTTAGTAAAATTGTTTGAAATTTTTCGTTCATTAATATTAATAAAGTAAATTGCTGAAATTTACAATAAAAAAACGAAAAGATAAGCATAAATATTTCGAGAATAACAAAGACGAAAATGACTAATCGTTTTAAGTTGCAAATTTCCAATATTTGCATCTAAAAGGTCTCGGGCGCAGCGGGCAGGATTCGAACCTACGCGGGCAGAGCCCATTTGATTTCTAATCAAACTCCTTAACCACTCGGACACCGCTGCATCGATGTCACATTCACTACAACGTTATGATTTTTTATCATAAAATAATTTTAAATTTTATTTTTTTTCTTTTTAATAATTTTTTCCAACATTTTTTTTTAATTTGAAATTATTTCAATAATTTTAGCAAAAAAAAAATGGTTCAAATATTCTTATCAAAAATTTTATGTTTAATTTAATTTTATTTAAAAAAATGATACATTGATAATTTGAACAATAAGATGATAAAAAATTTTTTTTTTATAAAAAAAAACAAATTTGTTATGATGGAATTTATAACAAATTATAATTCTATAATTATCAATTTATCGTTATCAGTGAGTAAATATTAAAAGTTTCCTATGAGCTGGTCAAAAAAAAGGGAAAGAATTATATTTGATAAGCAAATGATAAGCGAAAATGTAGAACAAAATGTTTCCTTATCAAATTTACTTAAATTAATTAAATAATCAAAAGATTTACACTGAAAGTATGAGGATAAATGCATAAAATTGAAGCAATTTAATTCCTTTAAATACCATTCATTTTTAGGATTAATATTAATATAAATGTAAAATTTATCTAATCTTCAAATATATTCTCAAATTCTTAAAATTCTTTCACAATCAGTTTGATTATACTTTTAAACAACTAATTGATTAATTTTAAATAACTGATTATAATTATAACTATTTATTGAAAATTCATAAAAGTTGCATATGTACATCTATGTCAAAAAAAAAAATCTTATCACTTCCTTTTTTTTTTACTTGATGAAAATAGAAATTAGAATCTTTTTTACTTAATTAAAATAAAAATTAGAATCTTTTTTACTTAATTAAAATAAAAAATAGAATCTTTTTTTACTTAATTAAAATAAAAATTAGAATCTTTTTTTACTTAATTAAAATAAAAATTAGAATCTTTTTTACTTAATCAAAATAGAAATTGGAATCGTTTTTTACTTAATTAAAATAAAAATTTAGCATCAGTGTATTTGCTATGTTTAATGTGTTATTCTCATAGATTTATTTGTTAATAAAAATGTGCTAATAAAATTTAGTTACATTTGAAAAATCATAATGCATTTGAAAATTTTAATGCATATTTTATTTTAAAATTTACATAAAAATTTATTTAAATATCAATTACTTTTCTTTTTTTAAAATTTTATTTTGCTATCATTTTAACTGTACATAACGGTACGCTTATTTGATGCAGCAAAAATGTCTAACTTATTAAGTAGTAGTAATAGTAATAAAACGATTAATGATGAAATGACACATTTTACAAAATTGAAATTATTGAATGAATCATATACAATTAATGATGATTCATCAGTGTATGCACTTCAAACTTGTCATAATAACAGTAGTAGTAGTAGCAGTAGCAATAGTAGTAGTACTGATGATGATGATGATCAACCATTGGCTGAATCAAATAAAACATTTTCAAATTCTTCAATTAAATTGAAATCATCAATTCAAAATCAAACAGGCGATAATTGCAGTAAAAAGTAAGTAAATTTTTTTTTTTTTTTTAAAAATTATGTCATAAAATTTCCATTTGTAATTTATTTCAATTTCCGTTTGCAATTTAATTTGAAGATAAAAATTTGCAATAATCTAAAGCTAACAATTAGTAAATTGTAGAATTTTTTTGTGAAATTTTTCTCATTAATAAAAGTACAAATAATTATATTGCTAGCAACAGCAATTGTATTTTGAAGTTTTTCTTTTTTCTTAATTATTATTTGAAAATGAACTGTCCGTTTTTTTTTTTTTCATTTCATTTCAGTTCAATTTATAAGATTGCTTTAACGCAATCATCGGAAAATACATCGGATAATTTGAAAAGTTCTCAATTTGATGATGAATTGTCGCAATTGTCGCAGCTGTCACAACTGTCGCAATCATGTTATACAGCTCGTGTTATTTTATCAGAAGAAATTACTAATCCTGAATTTAATTATTCTCAAATTTTAGATGTAAATTTTGAAGAAATAATAATTGAACACTTCTTTCTAAGCACAAAAGAGGGAGAGAGAAAGAGAGAGAGAGAGAGAGAGAGAGAGAGAAAGAAAGAGAAAGAGAAAAAACACTGAACTATTGCATTATTGCTTTGAAGTTTCTTAAATTATTTAATTAAAATTAATTAATAGAAATCAACTACTAATTCATATTTTTGATTTAATAAATAATATGTAAATAATGCAAACATAATTATTGTCAGAATTTTAACATAAAATTAATATAACTATGACTAATTATAGTGTTTTAATCGATATATAGAGCAAGTAGTCCAGCAATTTGCTTGTTTCCATGGAAAAGAAATAAACAAAAAAAAAAAAAAAAAAATGGGAAAGAAAAAAAAATCGATTATAAATTGTTAAATTTATTTTTAAATGTTAACAATTATAGTAGTAATGTCTAAATTATTTAGCATTAAATGTTAAATTACTAATTTACAATGTTTTAGGAAGAATTAACATCACAACAATCTAATAATAATAAAAGCGAACAAACAAACAACATTCTAAGTGAATCTAATATGTAAGTGAACAAATACATCAATTTTTGGCTCGAATATATTTTGAAGTAATCGTATTTTCAAATTTAATTTCTTTTAATTTAACATAATTTAATTTCACTTACTGATAACTTTTTAATACGATAAATAAGAAATACCAGCAATGGAAGTGACTCATACATTATCAGATAAAATGGTTTATATTATTCATACTATTTAATTTTAAAATCTTGTGAAATTTGCTTTTTTTTTTTTTTTTTTTTTTTAGAAAAGAAACAAATGACGGTGCTATGCTAGAAAGTACTCCTCGAAGTGTAAAAAGTATATTGAAAGCTACAGAATCATCATCAGACTCATTGGCAGTAATGAATTTGAAAATCTTGAAAAATTTTCCAAACTTTTTTTTCTTGCATTTAAAATTTCCAATTATACTAAATCAGAAACAAAATTTTTTCAAGCTTATATTACCAATTTCAATTTAAAAAAAAAAAAAAATCTGAATATTTAAATTCTAAGCTCTAATAGAAATGTGATCATATATCGAGGAAAAATGATCTCTCAAAACTACAATTTCACTTTTACTCATTCTTCTTTAATTTTATTAACTGTTCCATAAAATAGTAAAATAAAAATCATTTTTGTATTAACTGTAAACAATGATTGAAGATTCACTTCTAATACAAACATTTTTAACCTGAAAATTATTATTTCTTTAAAAAGATAATTCAATTAGTTCGAAATAACTTCATTTATATTGTTGCCATTGAAATTTTATTAATTACATACAGTTAATACTCAATTAATTTATAGAATGTAAACAGTGAGTACTGTATAGCAAGAATGAATGATACTTCGGCAATGATTAACACAGGAACATTATCATCAATCTATTTTTACAAAGAAACTGATCCGTTTCAAACATTATACAATACCAATGAAGGTATTCACAATTCTTTTTTTTTTTTTTTTGCCTTTTTTTTTTTTTTTTTTTTGAAATAAATTACAGCGTTTTCAGAAGAAAAACAAAACAATAAGCAAACAATGAAAAATTAAGCTAAAAACATGATGTAAAACAGCGATAAAAATCAGAAATTGCTAATTTTCTGATTTAAACTAATTTCTAAAATTCAAAATTCACACAAAAATTATATATGCTAATTATGAATTGTTTATATTTAAAAAAATTTTTGCCATTTTCAAAATTTCAAGCAGTACTTTATCACTGTTGCTAATTTCAATATTTCAACAAATATGATAAGTAAAAGTAAGCAAGTCAAAAATTGCAGCACAATGGAGTTCATTTATACCGCATTAATAATAATAAAGCATGGCGTTGAAGAGAAGAAAGTGAAATCGAAAGCTAAATGATCAAACTGGTTAAATCAAAATAGCAAAGAAAAAAATCAATTTAAACTTGGCAAAAAAAAAAAAAAAGAAAATAAAGCAAAAACTTCAATGACAACCTGTAATCACAAAAATGATCAACCCAACCCTTCATATTCTTAGATCAGATATGATCATGAATACATTAAACATATATGTATAAAAAAAAAGACCAAACCCTAAATAGTTCAAAAATTCATGTCGAAAGCACAAAAGATGAATAAAAAAGGATTCCTGCTGTAGTAATTATATGTAAATAAAAAATGATAAATGATACGCAATAAAAACGATTGCAACTAGTTATTATATACTAGTTGAATACTCATCAAAATCTTCTCAATAACAATCCACTGCGAATTTTGAATGGTTAGAATTTATACACCAAATACATACAAAAAAAAAAAAAGAAGAGAAAAAAATATTATATTGATAAATGCAATATAAAATAGATAAGTGAAAATAAAAATTTAACTTACCAATTTCCTTCAAAGCTATGAAAAAAAAAAAGCCAGAAAAGATTCAGCAGTAATTAGATAAAACCTATTTGAATGAAAAACATACAAAACATAAAATCAAAAATATATGTAAGTATACAATATATTAAAAAATTAATCTGATCAAAATAACTGCAATGATTTAAGAAATAATACAACCACTATCAGTTTGTGACGACAAATTAAAAACTATCAAAAAAGCT